CACAAAAGGTTGAGTGGTAGCCAACAAAATGTGTGTGTGCCTGAAATTAACTAAATTACTGCAATGACTATATTACACAATAATATTTAAAATGTACTTTAGTTTGTAGGAAACCTATTTTGGGGTAACAGTAGAACTTCACAAAGTAAAAAGAAAGTAAGATCTGAAAAAGAGCTAGTGTGCCATGTGACTAATTTTTGCAATCCATATAGAAAGAAATATTTAGTACAGCGCTTTGTGAATGTATTGCCAAGCATTGCAACTGTGTGTACCTACTTACAAAGGTGTATGTTATTATTGTATATGCATATGATCATATCCCAATCAATCAATCATTCTCTGAATGTAAGAAATAATATTTGCATCTCTTCTGTAATGGGTGTTTGTTTTAGTTAACTGAAATGTAACTCTTGCTTCCAAGTCTATGCAAATTAGCTTATTGCCAATCAACATTTATTTGCCTTTCACTCAGTGCTGAAACGCCAAAGCCTAAAGACAGATCATATTGTGCCGTTCGAGTAAGCCTGTGGACCTACGCAATTATTTTCTTTTGTTTTGTCTAGCAAACATTCGATAATCTTAGTTGTATGGCTACAGGAAGTTATCCATATTCTGTTTCTCAATATTTTGTTTAGTCTTTCAACAGTGTCCTTTGCTGATTTGTATGCTTTACTGCCAGCAGAGGGCTCTTAGTTCACACAAACTATGTCACCTCTGTAGAATTGATCTGCCTGAACTAACTTTTGCTGAGTATTTCCTGCACTAACTACTTTGCTTTGTAACATAATAATTGTCAAAATTCAGTGGATGCCTTAAGAAAAAAAAAAAGGAAAAACAACCACCTTTGATTTCAATAAAAAAAAATTTGGCACATTTTCTTTGTGAAATGGGATTGTGTGTTTTGCATGAAAAATGGCTGCGTGTGGATTTTGTGCTCTAAGCAGATGCACAATGAGCGATTTGCATGTCAAAGCCAGTCTCATTTGCACCACCTAGGTCTGTATTACAGCGAGTGGGTAAGCCCCCTCCACCTCTGAGCATCATGAGCGGCAGCCTCTTGTCAAAAGGTGTGAATAATGTGGCTTACATAAGTTCTGTTTGTGCGTGCGTGTTTGCTTTATAATCTGAGAAGGGGAGAGAAATTCATTCAGGTGTGCTTTGAAGCTCAAGTGATATGGAGCGGAGCTTCATAGAGCTTTTCTCAAGGCTATAAATAGTGTCCATGTTGGAGACACGGGTGTCCTAAAGTTGTCTTTCTGTTGTGTTCAGTGGCCTCGAAGTGCAGCCTCAGAGGGATGTGTTCGTGAGACAAATAGCTTCTTTGCAAACCTTGCGTCTTGTACACTTTCTAACTTTTCATATACACCCAAAATGAAAACAGTCCACCAGCCTGAGGACAAAGAATGATAAATATTTGATGTTGGCATTTGTGTATTTTCTCTCTAGCTAAGATTTTGCACTGATATCTCGTGAAAGATATAGGTCAAAGTGAAATCACACGGGGGAGAGAGGAGGGCTTCCATTTAGCTTGCTTTTACTTTAAGAGGAGGACAGAACACTTCCGTGATCCTGATTTCTAGACAAAGTGCTTTAATTATTAACTTGTAGATGTGATGGCATAGTGGATGATGCACTCTTTATGGAGCTTGGGACACAAAGACGTCTGTCCACGTCACTGGGCCAAGTGGAAGGTGCAATAGCTGTGAAGAGCAGCCTGAACTAGGCCTTAGCCTGAGGCTTTTTTTCTTATATTATTTGTAATGAAATTTTAAGATCTTCTCTTAAAACTTGTAATATCACAAAACAAAGGTCTCAATAAAGGTTTATTTCAGACGCAGTAAATCTGCAGTTCATCACCAGCCTTTTAATACTATCATATAAACAATCAGTGTGAGTAAGTATTGAGCAATTTCTTTTTTTATTTGCAGTGGATTTTCTCCAGCCATCCAGTGAGGATTGTGCAGCTAAGTGACATTTGGTTGCCAGGGACCTAATCCTGCTTTAAACTTCATGAGTGCATATAAGCAAATTACAAACCCGAGGATTAGATGAACAACACATAATGAGATGTAGCAGCAGATATCACTATCCAGCATGCAGAGTGGCAGCCTGTGGGGCTTGAGGCTCTTCCTCTGATTTTTGACAGAGTGAGAAAATAAATCCTGTCCAACCATATGCTTTTATTTGTGTGTCAGGAGAAGCAATATACCAGAAGACAGCGTAGAACTCTATAAATTGCTCCCACTTAATGTTAAAAGCAAATGCAAGATTTCAGTGTTTTGAATCTGTTTGATGCTTTTAGGAATTTACATAATTCCTAAACATTGCAACTTGTTTTCTCGGTAAGCGGTGAATAGATTTCCCTGCAGGGAAAAGAAATTAGTGCAGTTGTTACATAATTGTTAAAGCTGTTTCGAATTTAAGAGGGGAAATGTATAGGCACACTGTGTACCACGTTAAGCTTTAGCAAGCTCTAGCTAAGAGTGAAAATCCTCATAAAGGGAATACGCTCTAGCTCTATGTTAAAAAGTACTAGCAATTATCATAAACAAACTTTAAGTAGATTTCCACACATCTCCAGTTTAGCTGTGAACACATATAGATATAGACATATAATCTTACATTTAATATTGCTGTCTGATTCTAAACAATTTCGTTTTCGTAAGGATTTTATCTTTTTGTGACGTCTCCCTCCTTTGAGACCTGATGGATTATGTGGAGCAGAATAAAGCTTGCAGAGCGGGGCAGTTGTGTCAGGGGACAATCCAGATGAGAAACAGGCAACTACAATCTGGAGGTATAATCTCCTCACAAAAAAGAGAGATCAAATCATGAAATAAGAGCTGCTAGATTTCCCTTGTAATCAAATAATAGCCTATTCAGATGCCCACAATGTATGTGTGGGATTTTCTGAGCAGACTGGGTTTTAAGAAGAAGTTAAGCAATGTCCGATTTGTAATCTAGTAATATTTACATTTAAAACTGCTTAAGTGTTAAATGTGTTTGAATTTGCATCCATAAAATTGCTACCTAATCATTAGCTGTGTTTTGGAGAGTGAATCACTGTATTACATGGTATGACTTGATGTGATAGTAGAAACATATGATAAACTCTTATAAAATGTACAACAAAGTCATAATAAGTGTCATCCACCGTATCTAATACAATGTGTCTACTGGCATATAGTTATTTTATTTTATTAAAACCTTCAGCCAGTTAGTAATTATCATTAGAATAAATAATAATAAGAAAATTCAGAGGAGAAGATCATCTGGTAATTTTGTGATTTTAGAGCAGTGCACAACCTTTCATCAGTAGGTTTTACTGTAGAGATGACCTGTGATCAGTGACTGTTTCACCAAAAGTACATTTGTCGGCCAGAAACAGTATTTCACTAGAAAAACTGAGAAGTGAAAAATGATCTTGTTCAACAGAATATATATGATTTTATTTTATCACCCTTCATATTCTTCTTGCTGCACAAGAGGGTTAAGGAACCACCAGTCACAGAAATATCTCTGACTTTTTGTCACCTATGAAGACAAATTTCATTAGACCCTGAGAACCTCATGTTATCTTTTGTAAAGGATGCTGAAAGAGTCATCAAAGCTTCCCAACTAAGGTTTTAAACAGTTTATATACTTCACTTAATACAATTACACTCTGGAAATGTTTACGGTTGATTCTGTTATCTCTAGACTTGATATACAACACTCTATGAAACCACTGGGTGGATGAGGAAATGGTTCATCTAAAGCTGGAAAAGAATAAATGCTTACCCAGCGCTCAGTTAATAATTTAATAGTAACACTTTGTCATATAATCACTGCTATATAGATCTCTATATAGCAAAAAAAATTAAGCTAAATGCCTGATATTGCAACTGTGTAGACTATAAAGGTGACTTCTTAATTTAACTATGAGGTCTCCAATATCATCAATCACATCCGAAAACACTAGGGGAAGTAATTCAGGAAGTCTCTGGTACATAATGAGCTACATAAAAGGTCAAAAACCAACAATGAATGACCCTTGAACAGCGCTGTATTCAAAACAGACCGAAAGCACGTCACTGGTTCAGAAATACTTCTCATTCTTAGCAAACGTAGTTCTTCAGTACGTCCACCAAGAAAAAATATCTAAACTAGATTTTTAATTGTTTACATTTTTAAATATTATGGATAAGATGTAAAAGAGTGACCAATACGAAGGTTTGTAGCAATACAAAAGCCAACATCTTCCATGGGTGTGCATTAGTGCACATGATATGAGTTACCTGCAAATCTGTGCAGGTTTTGCTGCCCTACTGGCACTGTGGTCTTTTTCAGGGAAGACCTTGGTTATTCCACTACACTGTGCATGTACTGCAGAAGCATGATCAGCAGTTAAAGTCTACACCAGTCTGCTAGTATTCCAACAAACACTGAACATATTTGGCACACTGGGAAACTAGTTATACAACAAGGGAAGTACAACGCATTTTTTTCTTTAAAATAAAGCAAGAGTTTTCAAACATTTTCTTTCTTAACAAGAAATGATGCAACACAGGAGTAAAAGTCCAACACTCTCGAAAGATTTTGGCCCCAAAAAGTAAAAGCTTAAACCTAATACGTTATATTATTACACTTATTTTGCAATTAATTGTGGGGTTTATATAATTTGCATCATTTTAGCTTTTTGGGAAGGGTGTGTAAACTTTCAAAAACTGGGCATAATAATGAAAATTAAATCGTCCTCAGTTATAAAAAAAAATAAAATAAAATACTTGTGAGTGAAAACAAGCCCGTCAGTATTGTTTTAGTGTGTTTTTATTGGCATTCTTGAATGCCTTCCACATAACTAACTCACACAGAAAGCGCAGAACCAGTATTACATAAGTTGTGGTAATAATTACAGCGGTAATTATAGCGGCGGGAAGCCAGGTGCGTCTAAAAAAAAAGCCCCGCCCACGTTTACCTTAAATGTCCATTGCACGGAAATATGATTGGCACAGGGTTACAGCTGCTCGAACGGTGAGACATGGCGGAGTTTGTAGTCTGACTGAGAGCGCTCCTGGAGAGTTTCCACACTTTTCAACATGACTAAAGAACTTGATTTGACGCCGAGGTTGTTTCCGTAGCGCAGGCAAAGCGGGGCTTAAAGAGGCAGAGGCGTCATTTTTCCGAAAAGGATAGAGAGCGGCGGTTGGGAAAATGTGTTGTCATCTTCATGCAGTCAACAGCCTTGGGCAACAAATATGGCTACTTCTTGTGTATCCGTCAATTCGGGTTGAAAACCGTCCTGACTGGGTCGAGCGGGGTAGTTTCGCAGAGTCACGGCAGTAGCCCGAAGTTAAGTTGACTACCAGAAAGATTAAAAGGCTGGGTTTGTCCCGAGCTGGTAAACAGCGGACGAGCGAAGCGGAGAGGAGATGGAGCCCAAGCACAAAGAGTTGTTGGAGAAATGTTACCAGAACTTGGTGGAGTCAATAACAGATGCGGACAGAGTTGTGGACGCGTTGGCTCACTGCGGGACCCTAAGCCAGCCAGAGCGCTACGAGCTGGAGCACAACTGCACCTCCAACTCGGAAAAAGTGGACCTTCTGCTGAAGCTACTAATGAGTAAAGACGGGGACCATTTCGCAGAGTTTTGCACTGCTCTGGAGACAACACACCCTCACCTGCAATCTTTATTGCTGGATGGCATTGGACCAGTGGATCATACGAGTGGTGAGAAACAATTAAAGTGTTAACGACCTCCTAATTAAATTGTTATAAGAGTATAGTGTTTATGAAGAAGGGGCGACGTGTCAGAAGTTAGGGCTTTATCTAAAATACAGTGAAACGGTGTGTTTGGGCCCCTTGCTTTTGATATTGCTTATGATCCAACCTGTTTTCGATCCTCTCCTGAGCATGATCTAACAAACATTAGTGCTATTGACCTTATGACAGTTTGATGAAGGGCATGACTTTTCCTTTGGGCAAGACTTTTCAGGGCACAATCATGTGACCTGATGCCTATTTACACTCTCACTACTGTGCTTGTTTCGTTTAGCATGTCACCAAAAGTACAGCCTGCTAGCTTTTTTTGTGAAAGCATTTAATGGACCTAAAAAGACTCAATCAATGTAGGGAGGGACTGACTGTGTGTGGGAATCAATAACCCACTGTCATAGTCAAACGAATGAGAGATGAATCAAATGCGTTTTAGTGCGCACTGTGCAATGAATTACTCGAGGGGGATATAAACTGGAGAATAAAGGGCATCAGTTTGATTTGTTTTTGGTGTGAAACTAACTACAGTTAAGATTATGTCAGCACCGGTAAGTAAATTACCTTTTTAAATAACTAATTGTACGGTCTTTACAATGTTGCAACTTAAAGGCATTCAGCAAACTATTGTTTTATTATAAACTTGTGAATGGATTCAAAATTGCCTTTGTCCACCTACTATAATACTCCACAGCAGATGTATAGAAAATTAGTTTCTCTGTGGATTTGTCAGTATAGTATAGTTTTACTACTAACACGATACTGTATAGTGTAATGGTATAGTGCTTGTGGAACTGAAATTATTTCAGAAGTATGACCCCTGGCAAGGAGTTTCTGATTGATTCAGTTCGTCTGGTTTAGTGGCAGGTTTATTTAAACATTATGGATGGATTGGGACTTTTAAGTGATAAATTTTTGGATTTGATACACGTATGACACCAGATGTTGCAAGATACTGCAACATTGGATTTGGGATGCACTGTCTTGATATTCTTAAATATCTCAACCTAATTCAGATGCAGTTGTCCTTCCGAATCTGAATTAGCTGGATGATAGAGTAACTTTTAAGCATTACCAGAAACACAGGATCTCAAAACTCTTTTATTTATCAGTGATCAGATACACTTTTTAGAGAATATTCATCCTGCCTGCTCGGGATACATTAATATATGGACTGTTGGCTTGTCTTAAGAGGTGAACTAAAACTGCATCTTACACAACATTTAATGTTCCAAGGTATCGGGGGTTCCACCTTCGACCCTTATTATTTAACCCTTAAGTTTATCTAATGGTTACTAAATATATCTTGAAGTAAGGATAAGCCTCTGAGATAATATGGTCTCATAATGGCACAAATTGCAGATTAGTTTATAATAACTTTGTAATAGTTCTGTTTTCTATGTGGATAATCACCCTTTTTCTAACTAAGTGATAAATGCATGCATGTGATTTTATTCACAGATAAATCCACAAACTATAGATATACTCTCTATTTTTTGTGTTCATCATAAATCTCTTATTGCATTCTTTGTATGCTGAAACAGTAATGATGTATTCTCTGGACTTTACCTGACATCTTATGCAATAGCATAATGCATGCACTCTGACATATGACCCTTACTCAGCACTTCTGTTGCACTTTGACATTTGAAAAACAAACAAACAAAAAAAGGAACATCCATCCAGTTGCTTTCTTGTTTGCTATCGCGTCATACTCAGTTAGCTACCAGGTGTTAATTATGCATTATTTTGGCATAATTCATAAGAGAACGCAAGCTGGACACTTCTGTTAGTTTTTCTGAGCCTTCTCATTTTTGCGCTGCATTTCACAATTGTGCAGTGGGTCTAGAACTGAGTACTGATAGGCTCTCTAGTTCCAAAGAGCTTTGTACATGAGCATGTTCTGGGCTAGTCATAGTAGTGTGCAAATCCCCGTTGGTAGTCACCCAGGACACACATGGGCTGAGCTGTCTTCTGCTACTGGGCAGACAGGTTCCTCCACTGTGTGGCCAAAAGACGGGCCTTTCCAGAGAAAAGCAACCTATGTTTTTACATAATATGCACCATCAGGAGCCAGTTGCAGTAATTGACAAGTCACCCCAAAAAAATATGAGAGCCACATGTTGGTAAACCCTGCCTGTTCAAATGCTTATAACATGAATGCTAAATATATCCTTTAATCACTGACCTACAAAAAGTTCCACATGATGTAAATATGATGCCTATAGTACCGAACAGGGTGTGTATTGCCGAGGGCTTGGTTGTTTGTTTGTTTTTATTTGTTTGTGTTTGTTTTTTTTGTTTTTTAAATAAAGATACTTTGTAGTTTCACATAACTATAGCTCTAAGGCCTGTCAGCGGAGACCTTTCTGTTTAGATTGTTCTCATCGTTTCTTAAGGAAGAATAACACAATGGCTGCACATTATAAGGGTGTGTATCATGGGAAGTTTTGCTTTGTCACTGCAAAACAAGAGCAGGTGTTTTGCAGTTAGCGATTAACGAGTGTTATGTAGCTCGATTTCTTGGTTTCGTTCTAGATTTTATTAGGCGGAAAGAAGAGAATCTAGTTATCTCCAGTGGTTTTGAACTGTTGACACAGAGGGTAGTTATTGCAGAATCGGTGACTCATTAACTTTATACCACAGTACATATCAGAGTGTACTTATTTATAGAAGTAGACTGTAGAAGAAAACTGATGTCTGTGTTCGGCATGCTTTTCAGTCTTCTAACATCTATCTTGCGTAGCAGACTTCTACTTTAATTAGAATAGCTTCTCCGCAGGGACATATGTCATTGTTGCAGTACCATCATAAATGCATATTGTGGTATTTCAAATAATTTCTTTCCAAGTCTTTCACATGTATCTCCAGAGATGAAGTTAAGTGGGATCAAGTAAAATTTCATCTGTTGCTTTGCTACTGACAGAAATTTCTTTTCTTTTTTTTGTTTTTTTTTTTTTTAGTTGAATGCTAATTGGTTTATTTGTCCAGTTAAAAGTTTGTTTACAAAGTATTAAATCAACTGAAAGGTTGTTTGGACAGAGTGATAATAATCTGTGTTCATATATGCAGAGGAGCTCTGAGTTTTCATGGTGAAAGTTTAATGTCTGAGTTTATTTTAGAATAGAGTGTGAACAATTTAGTTATGAGAAACTCCACTGATATGAAGGGAATTTAGATAAAGTCCAATTTTTACTTAATTAATATATTTTGTATTGTTTAAGGATGTGTTGTTGGCTCATTTGTTTACTGGTAACATTTTAAAATCAGGTCAAAGACTTGGTGGGCATACTGGGATATTGAACAAAGCAGAGTGACTACAACATTAAAACCTGTGCTTTTAGTGCTATATAACTGTACCATGACTGTGCTATGATACTGGAGTAAATAAGTAAGCCCAACTTAACCCTTCTGTTGACAAAAAAAGGGCCTGAATTATATCCCTCATTAAAAGCTGTATTTTATGGTTTTCTGAAATTCAATGTTGATGGACAACACTCTGATCTATTGCTTAGAAAGTAATCTTCCCCCTTTTGTCAATTAATTACTCATTATACACAATATTTAAGTTAGAGCTTTAAGATGCAAGTAGAAAAATGCATAATTCTTTTAATGGAAAGGGGTAGCATTCAGAACATCTTTCATTTATTGTTAGTGGCACATAGTACCAGATGTGATTTAAGATCAGCACTTTACGTTTGAGCGACTGTTCTCACGTTTAAAAGAAATGTTCAAGTTGAGAGTAAACTCCTACTAAAGACAGTCTTCCCACTTTCCATTTGTTCTTGAGAAGTGGTCTTCTTATACCATAAAATTGTGTACAGATGATCAAGTGGCTGTGACCGTAACTACGAGATCAACCTAAATGAAATGCTTAAGTGGTCAGGGTCAGACCTCAGGTCACATGACTTCCACGGAGCAGAAAAGTAAGTGAGTTATGACATTGTGCACCTTGCCTATTGAGGCACTCTCTGCTCAGAGTCATGGGAAACTTAAGCTAGAGTGAGAACAAAGAGAGCTCAAAGAGAGCTCGGTCTCTCCTTTTTCTTTCTTTCTTTTTTTTTGTCCTTCAGTGGGAAATAGAGGGTTGAGCCATGTTAGCTGGGCTCCTCATAGTCTCAACTCATTTAGTTAGTGGGAACACGGCCAGTCAGGGGTTGATTTAGAGTAATGGGACGTGGGTAAATAGAATCGTTTGTCATGCTCTAAGTCTACACTAGACTTTACATCAGGAGTGGAAGCTGCTGATGTAACTGAACTATAAGCTGGTCACTCCACAGCAGCGCAGTAAGATCTCAGGAAAGGTGCACTGCTGGCTGTTTGATCAAGCAGTGTGCAGTCAGGCATCAATAAAATTCTAATCCTCCTTGTAGAGGATAAATAACCACGTTTGAAACAACTTGATTAACAAAATATAGTCAATGAAAAAACCTATTGCTAAACAATTCCTTGCTCTACTTTTACTGTAATTTATACAGTCAATGCCCTCTGATATTTTATCAATGTGTGCTTTGTGAGGGATATGACAATTTCTAGCTAAAGATTAATATTTATTGGCTGATTTTCATATGTTTGCATTTTAATACAGATCCCTATTACCATAGTTTTTCCATCTTTATCCAAATATACTGTCATAAACTTGAGCATTTAACATGCTAACTGAAGCCTGTAGAGTCGGAGATGTAGCTCAGCATTGCACGCTCTGACCTTGGGCTGAATTTGCTGAGAAGTCCACTTCTGGGAAGAATTAAAATGTTTTCATTTTTAAAAGTGTACCAGTTCTTCATCTCACTGCTTTAGAACTGTTGGTAGTGAAAACATGATGTACTGTAGCAGATAAATATTGGCCACTCCCACTGATAAATGGCATCTTATTTGGCAATATACTGAAGGCAGTCAACACATCTTTTGTTTTTGCTTGTTTTCTTAGAAAAGGTGACAGACCAGATAGTAACTTAATGACAACATTTCTAATTGACTTGACCATTTGTGTAACCATTTGTTTCTCTGTTGTTGTAAAAAGCTAATTGTTTCTTCACTGTATTTTCTGAATCTGTTGTGAAAACTGCACACTCTGGTAGATCGTGACACACACAGATTGCATCAGTTATTTCCCTTTTAAATACTTTTCTCTTTTAAAATCTACTGAAGAATTACTTTTACATTGGTGTGTGAAATAACATCATCTTCTTCATATTGTTCAGTGGTGTACATAAAGCTTCCTTTCTGTAACGTTAATTATGAATCACTGTAAGCTATAAAAGAGGGCCTTTCACAAGGGGGGGACTGTGTGATGTTGTCAGAGGAGATAAAAGGAGAAGCTCTAAGGCTGCAGCCTCTTTGGGGCCCTGGCTAGTATGTATTCAAGCTCCCTGCCCAACTGGTAATTAGCTACACTCTGTCAGCCCACAGGCCCGTCATCCCAAGTTGGGGAAAGTCCCACCTTATTATTCCTCCAGCTGGCTTTTTTCAGTAAAGGCTCCCGAATGTAACCCAAGCTGCACTGCCTTGATGTACCATACAATGCTGGAGATGATCATCTGACCATAAAGCAGACACGGTCGAGTACGCTTAGACCTGACTTTAATGTTTCTGTTCATGCTGCAGGGTCCACTTACAGCGTCTTGTCCACCATGCCATCGGACTCAGAAAGCAGCAGCTCTCTCAGCAGCTTAGGTGAGTGTGGTACTCATGATGACTAACGATTTAAGGTAAAGATGGGTCCAAAAAATCTTCTTTGGAAAAGGGGGGGGGGGCGAAAAAAACAGTTGTTCTGAGGAACCAGACGGCTTCTAATTGTTTAGACTCTAAGCACATGCAAGTGATTACACAGATGTGACAAGGATTTAAAAATACACACACGAGAGAGAGATCTGTTTCTACTCTAGAAGAGAGGATTGGTCTGTGCTGTTGAAGCTGAACCAGTGTTTATCACTACGTTTATTTTTGTGGTATATTCAAAACTGAATGAGTAGATCAACGATGACAGACAATATTTAAGTGACTTTGGCTAAACGATTTAATAGATTAAATAAAATAATGGTCAAGCTCTTTACCCGTAACATAATCATGAACTTGTATGTTTGTAATTTATTTCTTTAGCCAAGTTTGCAGCTCAGATGAACATAGACTACATTTTTACTGAAATATTGCTATACACTCTAGCTGACATAAATAAAACTGCACTGAACCCCGTCGCTCGCATCATTTGAACTTTGCGATCGGCACAAGCCACCAGTGACATGCTGACTCACACAGGTACTCCTGCTCAAGCTTCCTCCCCTCCACCTGCTCACATGGACAGCCACCAAGTGAATGAGAAAATGGAGACCATTCTGTTAGAGTTGAGACAGGTGACGCGTGAAAGGGATGAGCTACGCAAACGTCTCGCCCTCTCTTCACCTGGAACCACCTTTGATGACTGCAGGTAGTGTTTTAGTCTCATTCTACAGCCTGTTTTCCAACACATTTGCAGAAAAGCAGAGCAATCTTGTTTCTACCTGCACTCTTTAGATAGAGGTATTTTGCATTCTTGAGCATTTAAAAGCCCTGCCAAAAAAAAGCAAGAGCTATTTGACGTAAACTTGTGCTCGTTTTGTTTTAGAGTTGAGCATAAGATGTGAGGATGCAGTTGAACTTTCTCTTTCCTTACGCTCCCAAAAGTACAAAGTTTGCATGTTTATCTCACTTATGGCTCTCACGTTGTCCCATGTGGCATCTCAGAACTTGGTTTTTGATGCAAGTGTGTTTCCCTGTTTCCTGCTCTGTGAAATAGACCGAATGCAAAAGCAGGTCATGACTATGAGCGTCTGAAGCTGCAGTGTATGAAGGCAATGGCAGACCTGCAATCCCTGCAGAACCAGCATAGCACCACCCTGAAGAGGTGCGAGGAGGCTGTGAAGAAAGCAGACTTCTACCAGTAAGTGGAAAGCCTACTAGGGGACTTTGTAAATTTTTTAACAGTCGGTGGATTTGTGCTGTATGCATTCAAGCTCAGCCTGCAGCATTTTTAGCCAGTATTCTGTTCTTCCTCACATATTCACAGCAGATTGCGTAGAACAGATTTTATTTTTGCAAGAGTGATAGGGATGAAGCCTTTATATCAGTTCAAAATCTCAGTTAAGCTATAAAAATCCCAACAGGTCTTCTTCAATTTGATTTAATCTTTGGGATTGTTTGAGGGGGGGGGGACTATTTGTATTATTTAGTAGCAGGGCAAATCATACATTTCTGGCTAAAGGTTGAGGGAAGAGACTAAAATATGCTCTATAAGTATTACCCTTTTGTAAAGAGTTCACCATAAGCATGCTCTGTAATCAGTATGTGAATCCTGTGTATGCGGCAGAGCATCTTTGCCGTGAGGATAATGCTGCGAACGGAGCATTTGGTGTCTAGTGAGATAAGCTGTACTGAGTTGACATGAAGGGAAGGCTAGTCCATTTGTATGATTTTTAATGATGCCATACAGCCTCTGAAGTGTAGGGAACCAACATCTGGCCCCCAATGCAAACAGACAGATGAAGGATTATGTCCGTGTTTAAGCCTGTACTTTTGCGTCCTGTTTGCACATCAGAGAGAGTCTTTATTTATCAATGTCCTCTCTGCCTCTGTACTCAACCATTCACTCTAAGCAGCATGTTTTTGTCAATGGAAAATCACATTCATGTCTAGCAGTTATATATTGTACTTAAATTAGTAAGTCGCTAAACACTTAACCATTAACCCTTAGTAATTCTGAAGAATTTTAATTAGTCCTATTAGTGATTCATGTTTTAGAAAATTTCAAGTTAAAGCTTTATTACATAAGAGGTGGGTTTTTTTTTTTTTTTTTTTTTTTCCAGAGAGGGGAGAAACAACGGGGCCTCCTCTCCCCTTTTTTTTTTTCTCCCTATTAATGTTAATATAGTGACAGGAAGACCACAACAGCCCTGTGGCTTTAAATGAATTAATTAATTGTTTTTAGTGACAGCACGGTGGTGTGATGGTTAGCACTGTTGGTGCTCAGCAAGAAGGTCTTGAGTTTGACTCCACCTCCTGTCTGAAGGGCATGTTCTCCCATGTTTGCATGGGTTCTCTCCGGGTACTCCGGCTTCCTCCCACAGTACAAGAACAGGATTAGGTTAATTAGTGATTCTTAATTGCCTGTAGGTAGAACACAGTAAAGCCGTCTGTGAAAGTTAACACACAAAAAACAGTTTGTGAATGTGAAATTATGTCAACACGGGGTACTTTGTGTAATTTAATTTTTAGGTAGTTCTGAAATGATTAGTTTGACCACAAACTGCAGCAGTTAATCATTTCCAGTTGCAACAAAAGATTTGTATGCAAACTGTTGTGCTGGCTACTTCAAAACCTGCTTCGAGTTGGGTGTTCCAGTTAAGGAGATAAGACTGACGTGATTGTGCTGGAAAGATGACACCAGAAGAACAATATGTAATGAAATCCTGAAAGAAGAGGGCAAACAACACAAGAGGAAGTGGAAAGCACCCACAGAAATCTTATCAACATGATGTATCAATGGAAGAAGGCCAAAAAGGAGACTAAATTGCTCTTGACTAATAAAATATATTTTTTAAAAAGAATCATAAAAAACAAAAAGATGGTGCTTACGTCTGTGAGAATAATCTGTAGACCAGCAGTAAGGCATGGCAGAAGAAGCGTCATAGTTTGGGACTGATGTTCTGCTTCAGGGCTAATATACCTTGCAATCATTAATTTATGCAGTTTACTTTGAAACTGCACCGAGAAATTGTTCCAGGAGAATGTCAAGGCAGCAGTTTATGACCTGAAGTTTGTAAGAGTTTCGGTGATTCAGCAAAACAATGGGCTAAAGCAAATCGACAACAACAGTAAATCATGTCCCAGTGGCCAAGTTAGAGTCCTGACCACAAATCAGCAGAGCTGCAGTGACATAACTGGCTACAGTAAACATTTCAGATGTTTTTAAGAAGCTGCTTTTAGCTACTAAATTCAAGTATTAACTTACTTTCTTCATCCTACACTGTGGCTAACTGGTGCGATCCAAATGACGTGTGTGTGTGT